AACAAAAGATGGCTCTTTGTAGAGCTAGAAGTGCTCAATATTAACCATTAAAGGAGAAGAAGAACAGCTCCAGGTTTCTGGTCAGCGCTTTAGCCTGGTGGGTCAGGAATCATTTAACTCCCATTAGTGACAGAAATCCTGTCCTTCATGATATAGCCATCATGCAGCATCAGAAGTGTGTGTAGAAGCAATCCTAAACTGAGTAAGGATTTGATCATTTAAAGGATTTTAATGTGTATTCAGACTCAGGTTTTTACTGAATGTCGCTGGCCAAACTTGTAAATTGCCCCCTTCACTACAGCCCCTCTCTCAGAATAACATGGACCTGTCACGTCTGGGGGAGTTTTTGGTGTTTTTGTCCTGTCTCCGTGGTTGTCTTGTCATTTCCTGGTTTATTTTGTAAGGTACATCCCCCTTGTTTCAGGCCACAGGTCACATGACTGCTTGTCTTCCCTGATCACCAGTTGTGTTCACCTGGGGTTCCCTTCCCTTGTGTTTAAATAGTCTCTCCTTGTCTTTTGCCAGTGTGTTTCGTCCTTTTGTCTGCCGTCTTATGACTTTACTGAGCCTTACCTTGCCCTGTACCTAGCCTTTCCCCCTGTTTAACCTCGTAAGAGTGATTTTGCTTTTGATCCTCCTTGTCCTTTTGTTTAACTCAAGTGAGTTTTATTTTGGCGCTTTGTTTCTTGGCCTTTTTGCCTTCCTCGTAAGAGTGATTTTGATCTTTTTGGTCTACTTTGTTTCCACTCTTTGCGAGTGCGCCCTGTGTTGAATTAAACCTCTTTGAACCATCTCTCTGCATCCGGCTGTCTGAGGAGCAGAGTCAGTGAGGAGGTGTTCAGGAATACCTCATGTGGTCACACGCCAGAGCTAAGTCTCACAAATGGCCCTGTTAGAAAGATTAGCCGCTGCTCCACAGACAAATAGACAATGGCCACGGAAGATGTGCTTAAGAAGTATTGTATGTAGTATAAAACTGTCTATTTTGTCATTTTTAAATGCACCCCTGTGTGTTTTTAGACAGCATCAGTTTATCTTTAATGTTCCAAAGCAAAAAAAAACAGCAATTAAGACTCAGTTAATAATGAACGGGGCATAAATTATTCAATTGTGTTAAAAAAAGTTCCTTATTTTGTGGGTCTTGGTGTGCAGAGGAGGTCAGGAGCTGTCTGAAATGTTTTCCCGAACACCTCTGCTGTGGACTCGAACTCCTTCCTGTGGGAGAACTGGAGTGATTGATGAGACGGTCTTAAAGAAAGGAGGTTAGTAAGACATCCATCTTCATCCCCGCTTAATTCCGGCGCGCTACAGAAGTGAGGCGATTAGAGCAGACGGGGGGCTGAGAGTGAGGAGCGGGTTGCAGGAGCAGGGTGTGGAACAACAGAGCTCAGTGCTCATCCATCCAGGCCTGCTGGGTGCCAGACTTAAGAGGAGACCTGACAGTCAATGAAAGGGGGAGCTGGTGGCAGTCGGTGAGGGTGGGGATAAGGTATAGTACGAAAAAGATAGAATGTGTCATTTCCTTTTGTTATGAGCGAAAGCCTGAGCTAAATAAGATGGATTGGAACAACAGCTGTCAGGGAGGAAGTGGAGAGGGATCTACTATTTTATTTCCCATTTATTCTTGTGTCTGCTTAGGTTCTCTACTTACAAGCAGATATTGTTAGCCAGTCATAACAATATGTTCCCTTTAAGCTTACTATAGAAAGGCCAATCTCCTTACTGTAGTGCTCAGACAGCTTTGGCCCAGGTACATAATCTATCCTGGAATAATTACAGGATTTAAGGAAATGTCGGGCTTTGTAAGTGCTTTCATTGAGACAGTTGGGAATGTGACACAGTGGAATTCCACGTGGAGAATAAGCCCGCGCCTTCCTTTATCTGGGAGGATGAACATCTACAGGAAACGCACTCAATCACTGCTAACTGAAAAGAACCTTTTCAATTTCTGTGGACCTCAATATCCAATAATGGGCCGTTATTGTTACATGGTAAAAAGCCACTGGATTTATCAAAACAATGTTGTACTCTTTTATGAGAAACTCCACACTATGGTGTGTGTGTGTCACATATGTACCACATTAGGTTTTTTTAATTATTAACTAGCTGATTACATTTAGAATTTGAGGTGAAATTCAATATTTGACATTTTCCATATTAAGATGTACAAATACGTAACTTTTGTCAAGTCTAAAAAATAAATAGGTTACTCTGGATAAATGCTTTAAAGGTATAGTACCAAGAACGTGATTTGAAAGTGAATTAAAGAAAGTTGGAAAGAGAATACTCTCATTTAAAGGAGCCTAACTGTGTCTAGAAAGACCTTTTGATAACATAAGAAGCCTTTCATAAAGTTAGAGGTGCTCATAATTCATCTTTATGAGAGACGGCAGTGAATCAGAAGATCCCAGGTTTCTCCAGGAGTAGCAGCAGGGTCAGAAGGAGCTTCAGAACCCTAACAACAACAATAGCTTCCTCTAAAGTTAACCAATAACCACCAACACCAAACAGGTCTTTAATGGAAAATATTAGCTTGTCTTCGTTGGTATGAACCACAGAGATTTAAGGTTTCTGTAACCAAGCCTTTACTTACAAATCTTGATCCTGGTGTGTTTTCTAACCATTTACCTGTGTCTAATCTCCCTTTTATTTCTAAAGTTCTAGGGGGAAAAAGTTGTTACAGCTCAGTTTTGTGATCATTTCCTCAGAAGTAGTGTGTTCAGTCAGAGTTTCCGTTAACTTCCAGAGCTTCTCACAGAAAAAAAACACTTAGCTGAGAGCTACCAGAGGTCTGCTCCAATGGGGGACCCGGGGCTGAGCTGGTTAAAAAAATACATTGAATCAACACAACTCTTTTTATTTGGTCCATTCGTTGAGCATTGAGATGTTAGACACAGCAAGAGGCTGGATCAAATTCATGTCAGTATATATTTTATTTCACAAACTGCCATTCTGATGAAGTTTGGACATTATGTAAAATATAGATAAAAACAGAATACAAAGATTTGCAAATCCCTAACAACCAGACCAGTATTCTGCTTATTTAGCTGCGAAAAGATTTTTAAAAAAGAGCAAATCATTGTAGTCTATTTTTCTTTAGGTTTTACGCAAAGTCCCGACCTCATTGGATGTGTGGTTTGTTCTAGACTAACACATAATAAATAATGATAAACTCAGCAAATATACACATGCAAAACTTCCCATTTTTCCCCAAAACATCAATAAATGAAGTAAAGAAATGGAAGAGGGGAAACCTAAAGCTGCAAATGGTGTGTGTGGCAGGAGATGTAACAGAGATATGTATCAACAAGGTAGATAGTTGGCACAATAGGGGTCGGTAGGGGTTTCCTGGCTGTAGTTTTAGAAGAGAAAACTAACATGAGAATCAGATTATAGAGGCAGTAGGAGCTTCTGTCCATGGACACCAGCGTCCAGCCACAGTGCAAAACAACTCCTTCATTCAGCGTTCCCGTAAAAAGGCATCGTCTTTAAAGGAAAATAAATACACAACAACGACTAGCTCCCTGAAATAACAACAAAAAAGCACAGCTTCATGACAAATAGCTTTAACAATATGCACACAGTTTTGACTTTTGAAGTATTTCTGTTGCTCATTTGTTATTTGATCAACTTGATTTGCAGAGCATGGAATCTTAAACCGAGTTGTTGATGTTTGCATCAGTAATTTCTTGTAAATGTATACATTGTGAGGTTTTTTTTAGGGTTGCTCTCTAATCGAAATGCATCCTGATGCAAAAGTTGCTACAGACCAAAGTACAGGTAGAGTCATTAATCTGTGTTTAAATATTTGCACGAGAGAAAGTGTCAAATTAGCGCCTGGAAATTAAGCGTAAATTTGTTTTCTGATTTGAATGAAAACCAGTCAATTTGAATGATTTGCTAATTTGCATATTTCATTGAAGAATTGAAACTGCTGTGGAAACTTTGGAATGAAGGGCGGGTATTGCTGCAAATATTTAAAGCACCTTCAGCTCTTCCAGCTCCTGGAATAGCTTTTACATGTTTTATCTCATCACAGTTCCTTCCAATATGAGTGCAGAACCATCTGGAAGCCCTTCGTAGTGTGAGAGGGGCTCACGGACAGAAGAGGCTGGCTGGATAATAGAATGAAATAAAAACCTGGGAGAGGAACAGCAGAACGGAGCTGTCTCCTCAGGAACGGGCAAATTAGGTCAGTCTTCCACTCATAAGCGCACACGTGCGTGGAAACACGGGAGAGGAATCTGGGTTTAGTTTGTCTGAGTTTAAGCTTCCAGCGTCTTCTGTTGCTGGCCAGAAAACACAGATCTGTCCAGCAGAGAAAAGAACTTACTGTATCAGGAATAATACTGTATGAGGAAAAAAAAGATGTCTTTCTCGACAAACAATAATTAGACAATTCATTGTTGAGACAGATAGGTGATCATGTGAGAGTTAAAGTAAAGGAAAATAAATTCTGAATAACACAGTATTGGAGTTTTATGGTAAATGATAGAAAATAGTAAATAAATAATAAAGTAAGTCACGTAAACAGACGTTGCTGAGTGCGTGTGTGTGTGTGTGTGTGTGTGTGAACCCTGACAGAACAAAGCGCCCTCACACGTCTTCTCGGTCAAATCAGTACCCAGATCTGGGTTTGTTCGGTCACACAGCTGGCCAGCTGACCGGACACCAGCAGGTCTGCCCATGATTTTCGCAAAATCCCTAACTGACCTGGATCTGTATTTGGTTGCCTTTAGTCACATTTAACGTGTAATTATTTACAAGCATGTAAAAAAATAACAACAACTCATTGTTTGAACTTAGGATGTGGGGAGGCCTGAAATGACCGAACCCAAAGGAAACGGCCAGAATCACGAGTGTGTGGACGTGATCTGGGGATAATCTGGGGACGTGTGTGTGGGAGAGGGCATGGGTCTCCCTGGGTGGAGTCCCGGGGGCCGCGGGAGGTCCGGGTGCTGCTGGTGACCGTGTCCGCCGCTGGACGTTCAGTCCCTGGACTAGTAGGCCTGGCCGGTCTCCACCTGCAGCAGTCCCAGGACGGCCGAGTGGTCAGCCAGCTTCATCCTGCGCTGGCCGGACAGGCTGACGTTTTTAGCCAGGTAGTCCACAGCAGCTGGGAGAGGAGGACACAGGCAGCGGTCACTGGGAGGAACTTTTCAATACGGAAAGTTAAAAAGTTTATTTTCTTTTTTTTATCATTTCAAAAGTATATCAAACAGACATGCTTAAGCATCTAAGAAATGCAATGAGACAACCCCAGTTCCAAAGGTTACTGTGTAAAATGTCAAGAAAAACATAAAGTGGCAACTAGTTCATACACACTATAATAGTAGTAGTACAAATAATAGTAAAAATATCAAATTACATATTCTACTATCCCAATAAGTGGAATCCTAGAGTAGAGGAATGCAGGATAGGATAACTCTACCAACAAATAAATGCATTTAGTAGTTTTCTCAGGACACTAAGGAGCAAATTCAGCTCTGATCTGCTTCCACTTTATTTCCATCTAGAAGAAGTTCACTTCTGGAAGCATCTGCTTATGTAAGTGGTACCTGAGTCAGAAATTCAGCTAGAGATGCTCCACTCCTTTTTAATAACCTTTGCATTGCATGAGAATATCGGCATTCATCTAGTAGGAAGATTGTTCCTTTATTTCTGGTAGATACTTCTTCTGTCCTTACAGCTTCTTATTTCTACGACCAGGGAGATGTTCATCTTAGTTTGGCTTTGTTTGGCTCTTCCTGCCCTTCACAGCCTCCTCCAGACAGGTTTAACACTTTACTTTTGTCATTTGAATTCCTTGATCTGACGCAGGAAGTGCCTGGCACATCAAAGTGCAAAAGAGGCGACATCTCTGTGAGTGTGCCTGTGTTTGTGGAAGTGGGTTAGTGTGTGTAATCAGGCTCTATCTCAGAGGCAAAGGACTCTCAATTTGAACACTCACCGGGGATTTAAGGTATAAACCTGGTTGACAGAAAAAAAACAGCTCCCTTTAAAGGGCCTCGCTAAGCCCTTGTGAACACACAAACACACACACATAAACACACAGCGCTCCCCACTAGCTGTCCAGGTGACTGGCATCCTGACAGATGTACTTGCCCACCCATGGGTGCTCTTATTTATTTCCCTCTCAACCTGGATTTGACAGGTTCCTTTCTGGTGAACTGACATGCCTTGCTTAACCCCCCCACCCACCCCCGTATCAACACACACCAATCCTGTCCCATCAGCCCTGTCAGTCGGGCTGTCAGAACTTACCTGCAGCAGGGAGGAGAAGCGTTCGCGGCGCTGAGAGCGAGCGGCTGAGCTTTAGCGCCGGCTTTTGGAGTGATGACTAGCAGCTCTGTCTGTAAGCCTAAGTCTGTCAGACCCTGTCAGTCCCCGGGACCGGATTTAAACACCCCTCTCCGGAACAATGCCCGCTCACGGGAGGCTGCCAGCGTTGGACACGATTTTTTTTTAGGGAAACTTTAGTGAAACACGGCGCGGAGAGCCCTTAGCCCTGACCTCTGACCTCTGACCTCTGACCCTCACACTTACACACCTGGCTGTGTCAGTCTGGTCCTGACCCGGATCAGAACCGGCTTTTTACCACCCAGGACACAGGGGGGGGTTTCCCTGGCTCCAGTCAGTCAGATTATAAGAATTCATATAAGATGTGAAAAAAGTATTTTACTGAAGCTATACTACACAAATACTGAGTATTTGATGCATTACATATTTACATATTTACATAGATATAAATATTCAAATGAGGAATCAATGCATGTATTGCCTAAAATGTCATGATGTAAACTTAAGAAAAAATATTGTTGTAGTCCTAGTTTCTGACACGACAAGTTGCAACTTCAATTTCCTGGATATAATTTTGCTGTTTTTAAAGAATATGAGACTTGTCCTGGTTGAATTCTGGTTATGTGTATGTGTGACTAACGATATGAAATAGTTCCTGTCCCCGTTTTACATATCCCCCCCCCCCCCCCCCCCCCCTCTGGGGCCCCCCCCCCCACCCCGGGGGTTTTGGGGGGGGGGGGGGGGGGGGGATCACCTGACACTTGGCTGGGGGTGGGGGGGTCGTGTGCAAAGGGCTCTGCTGTCTGCCAGCCCCCCCCCCCCCCCCCCCCCCCCCCC